TTCCCAAGTTTCGCAGTATGTTGGCTAAACCTGCAAGGCTCCTTCTCATGTGTGTTGGAGTTGACTTTCAAGTCAGGAAGTCAGGGGGTCAGGCCTGTGGTTTGCTGTTGATGACACATGCACTTTGACTCTGAGATTTGCCATATGTACGTATGTGTGTCTATACATATATGTATGTGTATATAGATATATGCTGTGTGTGTGTAATACCCTCTCTGAGCCTTGTTTAGTAGGCTTTTGTAAGCTGAAGTTTCATTTACGTTTGGGAAAAGACAAAATAAGAAGTGAAATTGACAGAATAAGTGAAAATTCTCTCAAGAGAGGACAAGAAGGGAAGATGATCTGAGGAAGATCATTCTCCTGCATAGTCTGTCCGAGGAATATTTAATGAGGAAAACATGGACAGCTGATGAATGCGAAGAGGGACACAGCATCTCAGCACAGAATAAGGGAAGCTCAAGACTTTAATTAGCAGAAACTTTCAAAAGCACACGAAGTGATTAAAGGAGCTTTGCAGAGTGTGTCTTTCATGTGTCCTGGGGATGAAAGAGGCAGGGGTGGCATAATACCAGGAGCACAGGCTTCAACCACAGTTCAGGAAGCAGATTCATGCTCTAGTCCCAGCTCTGCCTTTTTCTATCACATGAGCCTTAAAATCCAGTTCATCACTCTGGGCCTCGGTTTCTTTCTCTAACAAACAATTATAAGACCCATCTTATAAGGTTGCAATCTGTAACTACCCACACACAGAACTGGAAAATACCAAGGCTGGACTTCACACTCAGTTTCTCCACTTTGGGTGCTCTTATCTTGTCCCTAACCTTTTGCCATCCCAAATTGTTCCCTAGATTGTGGTCAGATTCTGAAAGATTTTGAAAGCCAGGCTGAAGAATTTGGACCAGATCTTGTAGGTGAAGGAGAAACTTCAAAGACAATGAAGGCTGTTAGAACCTTGAAGACTGGGTTTGCTCATCACTTCCCTGGAATATTTTCTGGCTTCTATCATTCCTCTCCCAAGGTTAGGAAGCTGTGAACTTCTGTAATTCCATACTTATCCCCAAAGCTTCAACTCACTGTCTTCCTTAAACTTTCCTCTTGGTATATGCTGACAGTGTCCTTCAGTCTTCTCTGAACACAAAGAGATTGGTTTTTGTTCTCCTGGGCTCTGTGGCCTCGTTTTGCACACAACTGTAGTGTCAGCTGCCATTAAGATGCTTGCCCTCTTAGGACCACCTGGCTGGGCCTCTTTAGTGGCTTTCTAAGGCCCATTGACCAGGTGTTAGCTATGCCTCAAGCCTTTGGCTAGACTATTGCTGAAAATCTTCAGGTGAAAGTCAAGCCAATAATTTCAAGGGACCTTAGTACCATGACAAAGGAAGCCAAGAGGCTTTCTGAAGGCACCATTGATTCCTCATGACCTTCACAGCCACTCAGAATACACAAAACAAGGCTTCTCTATGGGTACCAGAATCTCAAGCAGAAAGGGGGGCAGCTTTCATCTAATGAAGAAGCTACTGAGTGCTCCATTAGCCTAGGCCTTGGGAAACCCGCTGCTCAATTAATAGGAGGGCTTTTTGTTCTGTTTTGTTTTTCCCAATGCCTTTGGAAAACTCTGAATTTAAAATACAAACAATTGCAAAGGTCAAAGGTGTAGCAGCTTCAGGCTACATCTTAGTCCCTTCGTAGGTCTGCCTGTAAATGTCGAAGCTGAGAGGTTGATCTAGGAGAAGTCAAGGACTCTGAGTTGTAGTTAAGGAGGTTCAGGTGTCCAGACCGCTGTAACCATGTTAGAGACAAATGGAGTTCCAACAGACAGGCAGCACACTTGCAATTAAGGAATGCTTGATAGACAAAGGAAGGGTCAGTTGGCTTCTGGGCAAAAGATTCATTTTGATTTTTTTCTCTGAAGCCATTGCATAGAGGTTGGGAGAAGGAAGAGCATGTCCTGGTGGATAAGCACCTACATGGAAAAAAGGCACCTGCTTTCACTCTTGTTGTTACTTAATGGTGGGGGTCAGGCACAAGATCCACTTGTCTCAGAGTTTTAACATCAATCTCTACCTGGATAGTCCCAGGGCTCTGCCTTAGCCTGGTAACATCAGCAGGTAACTTGTATTGCATGCTCACCATGTTCCAGGCAGCCGACTGAGAGATGTACAGATGTTGTCTCAATTCTTTTTATAAGTAAGTAGTTTGTAATATAAAAATCTCATTTTACAAATGAAGAAACTGACACCCAGAGACGTCAAATCATATTTCTAGGAGGCACGTAGCCAGTAAGTGGCTGCCAGGAGGTCAGGGGTCATAAGCCACCCTACTTACTCCTGTGGCCCTGCTCCCAGAATGGTGTCTGGCATGAGTAGACACTCCAAAATATTTGCTAAACAAAGGACTGAATCTGACTTCAGTGTCTGTGTCATCATGCTTCACTATCTCCGGGCTAGCAAAGTTCTTCTGGGGACTTAACTGGAAAAGTTATGTGACTCTTCTTCACCTCTGTTGAATAGTATGACATAGAACCAGTTGTATCAATAGGTACTTCTGAGTGGGTGTGACATGCCCTAATCTAAACAAGGACATTGAGATTTAGATAAGGGTATCTGAAAGCAGCAGAGGTAGAAGCCAGCAGGCGGGGACCCAGGGCTTTCCTTTTGAACCTGTCAGTAAAGAACTCTGGGTGTTTGAGCAGTCATCTTCCCTCTTGCTTTGCATCCTCTGCAACATGATGTTTCTCTCTAGCTATCATTTTTAAGAGCCAAGAATCCAGGAAGGCCAGTAAACTCATCTACCTGTTTCCTGTCTGAACATCGCCCAAAGACCACAACGCATGATGCCACTCATGTCAATGGCCATTTCTCAGCGTGTAGATGAAAACTTATATGCACACAAAAACTTGAACACACATGTTTGCAGCAGCTTTCTTCACAATTTCCAAAACGTGGAAGATGTCCTTAGGTAGGTGAATGAATGCATAAACTGTGGCCCATCCAGAAAATGGAATAGTATTCAGCACTAAACATAAAGAGCTATACACCATAAAGAGTCATGGAGGAACCTTAAATGCATATTACTGCGTGAAAGAATCCAATCCGAAAAGGCTGCAAACTGTATGATTCCAAACATACGGCATTCTGGAAAAGGTAAAACTTACGGAGACAGTAAAAAAACCAATGGTGTCCAGTGGTCAGGAGGGAGGGAGGAAGAGCACAGAGGATATTTAGGGCAGTGAAATTACCCTGTAGGATACTATAATGGTGAATACATGTCATTAAACATTTGTCCAAACCCTTAAAACGTACAATGCCTACAGCGAACCCTAATGGGCTCTGGGTGATAATGATGTGTTGATGTAGGTTCGATGGTAACAAATGAAACAATCTGCTGGGGGATGCTGCTCGTGGGGGAGGCTGGGAATGTGTGGGGGCAGGGGGCATATGGGAAATCACTGTACCTTCTGCCCAATTTTGCTGTGAACCTAAAACTGCTGTAAAATGTCTATTAAAAGAACAAAAGCACATAAACACCATTTGAGAAGACTTAAACACATTCACTTACACTTTAGAGAGCTTCTGAAATTATTGCCATTATATGTTTTCCCAATAAACTGATGATATTAAAACATGGTAAAATTATGAGGAAATTATCTTGGAAAGGGGTTTTCATACCAGGAAATGTGTTGAATCACTCTCGTAGATGGTCTTGGAGATCTCGTCCAGACCTCTTTGTCTGAAGTGCTACTGAAGGCTTTAAGGTTTTGGTACCTAGGGAGGCTACCAGGTGGTCTGACTGGGGTGGGGTCCCAGTTAGCTTCATCTACTCACCTCATTTTTCTTAAGGGCAAAGGAGACAGCATTTATGAGCAACTACAATGGGTCAGACACACATTTCCTCTCTACTTCAAGGCTCTGCTTGTGTGGTTCTCTTAAAACCCTCTTTCCCATCTTGATTTGGTGAATTCTATCCACCCTTTGCTGTCCTGGGCTCAGATATCTCTTCTTTCCAAGGCCACAGCACAATCCAGCCCACCTGCCCCTCCCTGAGGTCCTCCAGCTCTTGCTGATATCAGCCATCCCTTTACTAAGGAATCAAAAAATTCCCAAGGGAACCCTGAGCCCCTCTGCCTACTTTGTAGATAAGCCCACAAGGCAAGTTGCCTTAACATGCCAGCTGTTTAGCTGCACAGCCAGGACCCTATAAGGTCTCTGGGTACCATGAACTTGTGTGCTCTCTCAAGTGAGTTTGTCAGCTCTTGTAAAACAAGGAAACAAACAGATCTTACTTTTCCTGTATACTGTTTAGAACTACGACGGGTTTTGACAACTTTTAGGAGTGTGGATACTTGAAAATTAAAAGAGCATCACAACAAAAATGCGGTGGTACCTCACTCCTTATAGTCAAAGAATTATCTTTCTCTCTTTCCTTTCCTCTTCCTCCATTTTCTAAACCAGCATTTCTGAACCTCAGTACTATTGAGGTGTTGGGACAGATAATTCTTTGCTTGCAAGGCTGTTCTGTGCCTCGTTGGCTACTTGAGAGCATCCCCTGGCCACTATCCACTGGATGCCTGCAGCACCCATCCCCACGTTGTAACCATCAGAAATGTCTCCAAACTTTGCCAAATGTCGCCTGGGGATCAAGATCACCTCTGGTTGAGAACCGCTGCTCTAACAGCTCCGGGAGCACCTACCTTGTGCCAGACAGTGCTGCAATTTCTGAGAAACCCCAGATCTTCTCCCACCCCCATTATAAGAAATCATGACTTTGGAGAAGGCTACTTACAGGAAACCATAAAGTCATTCTCTGCTCTCTCACCTTGGTTGTGAAGATAACACAATCAGGTCACAGAGGCAGGTTTTTAGAACTTCAAAGCTGAGCCGTAGGGAGTGGAGGGACAAGAGCTAGGAGCTGAGGTCTTATCGGTGGCTGGAATGTTCCCAACCTTATCAATCCAAAAGGAGGGACTCGGGAGAACAAGTGGAGAGTCACAAGGCCAGGCTGCTTGCTGCTTCCCACCTGTCTTTGGACTAAAAGGGACCAGGAAATAAGGAAGAACTGAAGGCAAGAACACAAAGTAGAAGGAATGCTGAAGAGGTAGTGGAATTCTGTGGGTGGGGAGTATGAGTATGGAGTGGGACACTTCTCTGACTGTACATGAACTCATGCTGATCTGGAATGGACACCAGTGTCCTGAAACTACAGAATCTGAGAGCTGGGTCTTGGTATTAGATACATGAGCATCACCCAGAAGTCACCAGGACCTCAACTCTGGGGACGTGCATTGGGCAGCTGTGGCTTTGAAAATGTCTGTCATAGATAATGAAGGCCTGAACACAGGCAGCCACAGCAACTGGGGTGGAGAACTGAGATTCCTGATAGGATGGATTTACTTAAGGTGAGGGCAAATCATTTGTAGAGGTTTGAGGGTCTAGGAGAAATCAATAATATTAATAATAATAATAAGAATAGTAAACCCCTTTATGTCACTTGTGTGCCAGACACTGATGCACTTTATATAAATATTAACTTATTCTGTCTTATTAACAACTCCATGAGGTAGGCCCTATGGAAGTACTCATTTTATAGGTGAGGTAATTCAGGCACAGCGATACTTAATAACTTTCAGGTTAAAGAGCAAATGAGAAGAACTGGGATCTGAAACCAGACAGTTTAGTTCTAGCACTTGTGCTTTTTTTTTCTCTATTTTTTTTTTATTGCATTTTAGGTTTTGGGGTGCAAGTGAAGAACATACAAGATAGTTGCATAGGTACACACGTGGCAGTGTGATTTGCTGCCTTCCTCCCCTTCACCTATATCTGGCATTTCTCCCCATGCTATCTCTCCCCAACTTGCCACCCCCTGCTGTCCCTCCCCTACTCCCCCCAATAGACCCCAGTGTGTAGTACTCCCCTCCCTGTGTCCATGTGTTCTCGTTGTTCAACACCCACCTATGAGAGAGAACATGCAGTATTTCATTTTCGTTCTTGTGTCAGTTTGCTGAGAATGATGGTCTCCAGATTCATCCATGTCCCTACCAACGACACGAACTCATCATTTTTGATGGCTACATAATATTCCATGGTGTATATTGACATTTAAATATACCCTGTGCCACATTTTCCCTGTCCAGTCTATCATCGATGGGCATTTGGGTTGGTTCCAAGTCTTTGCTACTGTAAACAGTGCTGCAATGAACATTCATGTGCATATGTCCTTATAGTAGAATGATTTATAATCCTCTGGATATATACCCAGTAATAGGATTGCTGGGTCAAATGGAATTTCTATTTCTAGGTCCTTGAGGAATCGCCACACTGTCTTCCACAATGGTTGAACTTACACTCCCACCAACAGTGTAAAAGTGTTCCTATTTCTCCACATCCTCTCCAGCATTTGTTGTCTCCAAATTTTTTAATGATCGCCATTCTAACTGGCATGAGATGGTATCTCAATGTAGTTTTGATTTGCATCTCTCTAATGACCTGTGATAATGAGCATTTTTTCATATGTTTCTTGGCCTCAAGTATGTCTTCTTTTGTAAAGTGTCTGTTCATATCCTTTGCCCACTTTTGAATGGGCTTGTTTTCTTCTTGTAAATCTGAAACAGTCATTAGAGTGAATCGGCAACTAACAGAATGGGAAAAAATTTTTGCAGTTTACCCATCTGACAAAGGTCTGATATCCAGAATTTACAAAGCACTTGTGCTTTTAATCACTATGTTATAACCACTTGGTAAACAGAACTTGGGCAGCTGAGTGGATAGTAGCATCATTAACTCAGGTATGGCTTGAAGGAGAAACAGGTGTGAAGAGAAAACAATGGGTTCTTCCGTGAAGATGTTATGTCTGGCATATGTGTGGGTACCCAGGAACTGTTACCTGGAAGGTAGTGTAGCAGGTTAGCTCTGAGCTCAGTACAGAGTCCGAGTAGCTGAAGCCATGGACTTGGGTGTGTGGCCCAGGGAGCTATGTGCAGTAGCAAGAGTACCGAGGAACTCCAGAGAACACCAACAATCAGAGAGACGGAGGAAGAAGAACCCAGGAGAGAGAACGAATAAAAATCCATCAGTGTTGAGAGTAGGGCTCTGTAAATTAACAGTGAGGTAAGTTTCAGGAAGAAGGGCAAGGTTACTAAGGACACAGCTGTAAAGAAGGGCACTTAGATAAGATTTGAAAAGAGGTATTGTTTTTCAACAGTTTCAGGCATTTCTAATTTATTTTCCCAGCCGGATGGGAAACTTCTTGAGGTCAAGTGTTATATTCAGTATTTAATTGGGTACCTCTTTGGGCTATCCTAGTTTTTAGTGGAATGCTAGGCATGCAGAAGTCATCCCCCAAATACCTGTGGGCTGATGGTTGTTCAGGCTTCTGTTGGTTTTTCTCCTTATTAGTACAATGACTTTACTTAAAGGTTTGTCTACACGAGTTGAGAAGGAGATACGATGTTCTGAGTCTTATACAAGGTTGGATAGCCTATAACCACTGTACTTGGCATTGTTGATGCAGCTGATCAGCAGATGCAGCATCATGGTTCTCTCCTCAGGAATTGTGATGTACGTCAAGCCTATCATACATTGAAGACCCACTGAGTCTGGCTCTGTACTGTACATTTGACATTTGTAGCTCAGAGTCTCACAACCTGGCGAGGTGGAACTTACTATCCTCTTTTTCCAGATCAAGTGACTGGGTTGAAAGACTGTTGCCTTGCCCAGAGCCACATCATTAAGCAAAGGCACTGCCAAGGTAAGGATCCAGGTCCATCTGCCTCTAGAAACCTTGGACTCAACATGCCCCAAACTGCACCCTCCCATCCCCTTAACTGTCACTGCTTTACTTCGGGAGTTACCATCATTCGAGAGAGTTTTACCATAGCTCTGTATTTGTTCTTTACTATTCTGTTGAATGTTTTTCTCAGAATTCATCCTCCAAACTATAGCTGCAATAGTTAACCTAAAAGCAATTTTGATCGCTTCTAAATTCCTTCAGTGGCTCTCTCTTTATGATAAAAGGGATATGGCATTCTATGATACAAGGCCAAACCCCTTAGCCTACTCTACTAGGCTGTCATCATCTCACCCCTTTTGCTTCTCTAGGCTCTTTTTGGCTCACTTATCCTCCCTTCCAGCCAAAGCAACCTCCTTGGACTTCCTTGAAGATGCGCTACTCTCATTTTGCATATTCTATTCTCCAAGTTTTAATGCCATTCCTCCTTTTTGCTCTGGGTTAATTTACACTTGGTCTTTAAAACTCACTTTAACCATTCCTCTCAAAAGCATGCCCAGACATTCCTAGATTTTATTAAAAGATCCTCCTCTATTTCTCTCCCTGAGTACTTTAGCACCCTGGTTACAGATGCCTCTATCACGGTGCAGCACTCTGCATTCTGTTTACAATTTTCTTCTTTTCTCTCACTTGACTCTAAGGCCTTGTGGAACGATGATTACATATGCTCCCAGTTCAGAGCAGGAGCCGAACTCCTGCCTGTTAAATAAGTGAATGAGTTTTGGGGGATGAACTGCCTCAAAGTTGGAATGTGATGGAGGAAGGGAGGGGATCAGGAACAGTAAGTGGGTGGAAGCATTGGCCGGAGGGTAAGGATCACCATGGGGAGTTGGTATAATGCTTCTTCTACGTTCACTTCTTCCCGCCACTCCTAAAGGCATGGAGGATACCCCGCCTCTGCTTCCAGACGGTGATAATCCTACTGGGACTGTCTGGGCCAAAACCTTGCCTTGAGCCTCATCTTCAGAGTCCAGTTTTCTTTTGGCAACACCAGGGCAGGAAACACTTGCCCCTTGAAGTTCCCCTGCTATGGAATGTGTGTTGGGACATGACTGAGAGCCAGATGGAAAATGTGTCCGAAGTCCTAAGCCAGGCTGGAAAGATAGGCAGATGATAATGAAGTCCATCCCTCTGTTTCAAAAATAGTTGGCAGCAAAAGTAATCCAGGATCATGCACCTGAAGCATTGGAAAAGTTAGCAAGACTTGGGGGCCGAGAGGAAAGTAGCTGAGATGAAGAGAAAGTGACTATGTCTCCTCCATTAGCTCTGCCCTCCCATCTTCAAACTGAGAAAAGCATTTCTGTTCTAGTGGGAATGTAATCTCTTTACTGAAAGGAGTGCCTAATGGTGGAATTTTCAGATGGTTCAACAATAAGGGAGACCTTCTGTGGGGTCGGTTGGGTCCCTGAAATCACACCCAAGGGATAGCATTCGCTTTTTCTGCTAATCAGTCCAGCCCTATGTCAGTGTGTGACACAAGGACCAGGAATATTTGATGGAGTTACAGCTGGTGAAACATTTCCCCAGGTTTCCTCAGATTTGATCCGTACAACAGCCTGTTGATGAGATTATATCCTCCCCACCATCCCATTCTACAGGAGAGGAAACGGAAGCTCACAGAAGTCAGTTGGTCTGCCTGGGAGCTCACAATCATTCTTTCTTTCATCCACCCTTTCACTGTTTATTAAGTACCGACATTGCTCCAGGCAACGTTTTCCTACTGAGGACAGATACCATGTAAGGCAGACAGCTCCCTGTCCTTAGGGAGCTTGCATTCTAGTTGGGGAAACAGAAAATAAACATGTGAGTTACAAATTGATAACAAGGGGATAAATAAGTGGACGAATAGCATGCGATGTAAAGAAAATGAAGCCTTGGAAACTGGATAGAAAGTGCCCGACAATGAGGCGGTGCTGGGGCGTACATGCTATTTTGGAAAGGGTGATTGGGGAAGGCTGGTGGAGGAGACAAAGAGAGAATTTGAAGGAAGACCTATTCTATGCTTCTTTCATTACACCCACCTGCAGGGAGCTGCTGTAGGGACTTCCTTCTTCCCCCACACCTTTTTAAAGTTTTTCTTCTAAGGAGCTCCCAAGCACCTTTCTTAGAAATTGATACTGCCAGATGCATATTTCTCAGGGCCTGTAAAAACAACCCTTGGACTCTTCCCAGGGACAGCTCGGAGATGAGGAAAATGTGAGTGCAAGCCCCACCCTGGCAGTGTGTCGGCAGCTGTCCTGGAAAATAAAAACACAGGCCGTTTACAGATTCAGGAAGCTGAAGTGTTTTATGGGCACAGTCATTAAATGTAAACGGGGCCTTGTTTCTTGACAACATCTCCAGGAAGCCATTCACTGGGACAATAGAAGGCAGAGAGGAAACTTAACAGTCTTCAAATATTTGAAGGACTGTCGTATGGCAGGAGGACCAGCCTTGCTGGGGGCAGCTACAGGGAATTAAAGCAGGGCCAGTGGCAGGAAGCAAAAGGGAGGCAGGTATCAGCTTGGCACTGGAAAATATTCTCTAATAATCTCAACTGGCCCACAGTGGAATAGAGTGGCCTTGAATGGGGGTAAGATGCCTCCCTTCATCACTAGGGGTATACAGTAGAGGTAGAAGGTTCACCTTCCTTAGTACAATGAGTGATTTGCTGATAGATTCATTCATTTAACTCATGCTCATGAAACATTTTCTATGCACTAGGCATAGATGCTGTAGTGAAAAAGACATGAAAGATCGCTGCTTTCATGAAATGTCCATCCTAGTGGTGGAGGCAGGCAATAAACAAGTGAACAGATAGCCACAAACGTAATTGTAGCTAGTGATGTGTGCCATTGTCCCAATAAAAGGGAATGTAAAAGAATGACTGTGTAGGGGTGTGTGTGTGTGTGTGTGTGTGTGTGTGTGTGTAATAAATTGTGTTTTATTGGGTGGCCAGAGAAGATGTTTCTGACATGATAACCTTTGAAGTGGTCAGAAGGACCAGCAAGGACAAAGGCCTGGAGGTTGGAAGTAGCTTGGTGTACTCAGAAGCAGAGAGAAGCTCAGCGTGGTTGGTATAGTGAGCAGAGGGATAGAGCAGGAGGCAGTGAGAGCAGGCAGAGAGTAGATCCTACAGGTTCTTGTTGGCCTGGTAAGGTGGTTGGGTATTATATGAAGGGCATTGGAATGTCCTATCCAACTGCATTGGAAGAGCTGTAGCAAGATGATTTCTGGTTGAAAGTTTAGACTGGTCTCAACCCTGGCATCAGAATGACCTAGGGGTCCATGGTTGGGATCCAATGGTCTAAGTGAACTCTAAAATTCCTTTCATGGTGAGGATTTGAGGTAGTGATATGCGCTTCCATATGGGATGATACATTTTGCTCAGGATATCCGAGAATGCATGGCCCATTGGAATTTTGCTAACATATTATCCAGAAGCCAGTTTATTAGGGTGGGTGGGCTCTAAAGAAGCTTACTTCACTTCAACCATTATTCAGTGGATTATCTTCTATGTGGCAGGCACTAAACATGCAGGAGGGGTAAAACAGTGCCTGGAAAACAACAGGTACTCCATGAATACTGATTGAATAAATGAATGGATGAATGTGCCAGACATTCTGCTGGGCAGCAGGGACAAAGAGGTGAGGAAAAGATGTGTGAGAGATAGTACAGATGCCTCTGTCCTTACTAGCTCATGTGATATGGTTTGGCTGTGTCCCCAACAAAATCTCATTTTGAATTGTAGTTCCCATAATCCCCATGTGTTATGGGAGGGACCCAGTGGGAGGTAATTGAATCTTGAGGGCAGTTAACCCCATGCTGCTGTTCTCATAATAGTGAGTGAATTCTCATGAGATCTGATGGTTTTATAAGGGGCTTTCCCCCTTTGCTTGGCACTTCTTTCTCCTGATGCCATGTCAAGAAGGGTATATTTGCTTCCCCTTCCACTATGAATGTAAGTTCTCTGAGGTATCCCCAGCCCAGTGAAATTGTGAGTCAATTAAATTGCTTTTATTTATAAATCACCCAGTCTGGGGCAGTTCTTTATAGCAGCGTGAGAATGGACTAATAAATCATGGAGAAAGAATTGCAGTAGGAGTCTTTGCAAACTGCTATTTGAAGAGTAAAAAGATGGAAAATGTAAGGGAAAAGGATATGTGTTTTGAGTTTGGGCATTAGGATACCACAGGGCGTTCCTGCAAAGGGCAAAATGCAGAGACAATGCTGGGAGCATTTGTAAAATCTGAATTCATTGCTTCCAGACTGTTGGGTTCTGGCTTCTGGTGTCACAGGGGAGTATGCTTTTGATTTTATAGGTACAACAGACAAAACATTGGATGGCCAGGAACAGAAGCTTTGAGACTTCTCAGGAAGATCAAGCAGCTTGGACACAGGGCCTTCTGGTTTTCTCCTTTGATGGGAAAACAGGGAGGATTCTGCTAAAAAAGTTCATCAGAACTTTGACATCTACCAGCTTTTGTAGCCTGCCAAATCTCTGTGTGCTGCACTCTGTGTTAACCTAGTCAAATTACCATCAAGTGGCCCGAAGCCATAGCCAAATCGGCCTCACCGTTTTCCTCGCCCTCATTTAATCATCTGGGAGTGGATTTCAGGAATTGCCTGTAATCTATCGAACACATGTCTAAGAATATAAACTAAACAATTAACCCTTTCCTGGGGCCAACAAACCTCCTGTAGAAGGTACAGTTTTGGTGTCTGCAATTGGATTTACATTTTTGTAACTTCTGGGAGAAGAGGAAGGAGAAGGAATTTTGACTCATCATTATTATGGTTGAGACACTGCTAGATGTTAATATTCATGACTTCTGCACATCAATTCTGTGAGATAAGTATTATTAACTCCATTTTAAGCATAGGAACAGAGAGCTTCAGAAGGATTGAGGAACATGGTCAGGGCCACAGCGTTTAATAAATGGCAAGCCCATCACAAAGACACAGGCTTTCCCCCATAAACC